GGGGCTAAGGAGCATCCTCTGGGGCTAGAGAGCATCCTTTGGGGCTAGAGAGCATCCTCTGGAGCTAAAGAGCATCCTTTGGGGCCCAAAGCGATGGCACTGAGCACGCTGTCCCCTCTGTCCTAGGTGTGAGCCCAGCTTCCAGGCCTTCTCCGGGCACCCCCACGAGCCCCACAGCTCTCAGCAGTGGCCTGAAGCCTCCCGCCCTGGCCCCCCCCTCTGCTCCTCCCAATCCCTTGGCCAACATCCTCTCCAAAGTGGAAATCACTCCGGAAAGCATTCTGTCCGCTCTGTCCAAAACGCAGCCCCAGACGGCGCCGGCTTTGCAAGGTACCGGAGCGGGGATGGGGGGGGTGGGAATGGCAGCCTTTATCCGGGATACAGAGGGGAGAATTCCTTAAATTGGGATATAGGAAACCCTCGGTGAATCCCACTGCCTTCTCCCGTAGCGCACGCGGGGATGGCTTTAAGCTGCCGGAGGTGGGGTCTTAGGCTGAAGGTGCCACTGGAACCGGATGAGCTTTACGGTCCCTTCATCCCAAAGCATTCCCTGATTCCTGGGTGGCTCCATCCATGTGCCATGACCCCGGTGCCATGCAGAACCCTGCAGGGCTTTGCGCTCGCCCTCTGCAACAGGGACCGTGGCGACCGAGGCGGCGCGGTGCCACTGGGACGGAGACTTCCACATCCCCCATGGGCAAAGCCACTTCCAGGGCTCGGGATCGGGAAGTTCCTCCCATGGAGGTGGGATTTGGGCCTCACCCCCCCTCCCGGGTTCTGCTCTTCCCAGGTTTATCCTCCCTGCTCCAGAGCGTGGCTGGAAGCTCCGTTCAAGCCAGCGAAGCCTCTTCCCAGAGCACCGCCGCCTCTCCCGCCGGCGCCAGCATTCCCAGCGGGAAGGGCAGGAATGTTCCTCCTCCCAGCTCCCAGTCCTTCCTATCCAAAGGCTTCGGGTATTCTCCCAACTCCTCCAGTGCCGAGGTCTCCTCCGCCCCTGTTAACAAAGCCCCCATTGGACCCCCCCCGGGCATCCCTTCTTTTAAGCCTCCAAGCAATTCCTTGGCCTTTCCCAGCTCCCACCCCCCGAGCCCCTCATCCCTGTTGCCCGCAGAAACCCCTCTGGCTCAAGGCTCCGAGCTTCCCAAAGCCAAGCTGGAAGCGGAGCCGCCTTCTCCCAGCCTGGAGATGAAGATCCACAACTTCCTGAAGGGAAACCCGGGCTTCAGCGGCCTCAACTTGAACATCCCCATCCTCAGCAGCTTAGGGGCCGGCACGGCGCCGGAAAGCCACGCACCCGACTTCCAACGGGCTCCCAGCAGCGCTTCCATGGATAACGTGGACGGGACGCCGGTGCGGGATGAGCGGAGCGGGACCCCTACCCAGGATGAGATGATGGATAAACCCGCCGCCAGCACCGTGGATACCATCTCCTTGCTGTCCAAGATCATGAGCCCGGGCTCTTCCACTCCCAGCAGCACGCGGTCCCCGCTGCAGAGCCGGGACGAGGGCTATTCCCAAGAGCTTCCCAGCGCCGTGCATTCCTACCGGCCCTTTGGGATGGGCAGGGAATCTCCCGGCGGGCTCTACAAGCAGCCTGCCGACAGCCTGGAGCTGCCTTCCTCCTTGCTGGAATCCTCCCAGGAGAAGTTCTATCCCGACGCCCCTTTCCACGAGGATGAGGATTACCGCGACTTCGAGTACGCGGGGCCGCCGCCGGCCGCCATGCTCAACCTGGAGAAGAAACCCACCAAATCCATCCTGAAATCCAGGAAGCTTTCCGAAGGCGCGGAATTCCAGCCGCTCCTGCCCGCCTACGCGCAGAGGGTGCAGGACTTCGGGATGAAGGCCCCCTTCCCTCCATCCATGAGATCCATCCTGGAGCAGAGCGAGCCCTGCGACCCCTTGGCTGCATCCCCGGGGCTCTATGGGAGCTATGGCCTCCGGGGCAACGATTCCACCTCGGATGGATCTCATTCCCCCGGGAAGAACGACGCCTTCTTCGCCGCCGACTCCAACCACAACGCCCTGCCCAAGGCCGTGGCGCATCCCGGCCTCGCTCCCAAGCCGTTCCCGGACTCTCCCCACTCCCTTCCCCTCCGTTCCCTGTTCTCTTCCCAAGCGTCCCTTCCCAACGTGGAGAAACCTTTGGCTTCTCCCATCTCCACCACGTCCACCATGGAATTCAAGACCATGCTCAAAAACGCTTCGCGCAAACCCTCGGAAGAGAAGCATTTTGCTGCCGTTCCCAAATCCGAGGCTGGCGATCCCAAAGGCAAAGGGCAGGAGGAGCACTTCCGCATCGAGACGCGCGTCTCCTCCTCCTCCTCCTCCTCCTCCTGCTTGGACTTACCTGACGGCGGCGAGGAGAAAGGGGCTCCCATCGAAACCTTGGGCTACCACAACGCTTCCAACCGCGGAATGCCGGGAGAACCCATCCAGACGGTGGAATCCATCCGGGGCTTGGGCAAAGGGAGCCGAGGCCACGGACGGGAAGGGAGCAGGGGTTGGTTCGAGCTCGGCGCCGGTGCTGGCGGCGCCTTCAGCAACGGCCCCTCGGAGCATCCCGCCATGGCGGCGGCATTCCCGACTCCCTACAAGGAGCACGTGGCGGCTCCGCCGCCGTTCCCGGAGAGCGTCAACAACTTCCGGAGCAACAGCTTCACCGCGCCCTTCGAGCATCACTTGGCGGCGGCACCGCCGCCACCGCCTGCCATGGAGCACGGGACTCCCTTCCCGCGGGATCCAGGCCCCCCCCCCAAGGACCACGGCGCCTTATTCCCAAGGGATCGCCTGCCGGCCGTGGATCACAGCAACCCCTTCGCCAAGGAAGCCTCAGCTCCGCTCGCGCTGCCCCCCCCCGCCGCCATCGACCATCCCGGCGTCCCTTTCCCCGCTCCCCCTCCGCCGCCCGTTCCCGGCGAGCATCCCAACATCCCCTTCCCATCCCAAGCTCCGGCAGCGGGGGAGCACGGAGCCGCCGGCCCCTTCCCAGCGCCGCCGCCGCCTCCCCCGCCGCCGCCCCCCCCGGCTCTGGAGCACGGCTCCCTCCACCCTGGGACACTCAAGGAGCATTTCTCCGGCCACGCCGCATCCCGGGAAGCTCAGCCCCAAAGCCGGGATCTGGGCCCGGCTCCTTTATCCCGCGCTCGGGAAGCCGTGGCCATGACCCCCCTGTCCAGGGATCCCTTGGCTGGGGGGGGAGCAGCGGCAGCAGCAGCACCGAGGCCTTTGGGCCCCCCCCCAAGCACCGGGGGGCGCGGGGGGGTGCTGCTCAGGAACCCCCGCACCGAGTTCAGGCCCAGGGAGCCCTTTGGGAGCAGAGACCCCTTCCATAGCCTGAAACGGCCACGACCCCCCTTTGGCAGGGGGGGGGCCCCCTTCTTCACCCCCAAACGCCCCTTTTTCCCCCCCCGGTACTGAAGCAGCCGCCCTGAGCGCAGACATCACCCCCCCCTAACCCTAATCCCCCCCACGCGCCTCTAGAGCAGCGCTTCCCCCTTGGGATTTTTCCTTCTGTTTTCCACTTTTTCCCCCTTTTTTTTTTTTCTTCCTTGCCCCTCCCCTCCCCCCCCCCCAAAAAAAAAACCTCTAAATTAAATATTCTCTAATTTTACGCTTTTTTCTTTCCAATTTCCCTTCGTTTTTTGCTCCAGCGCCCAGGAAAAGCCTTTTCCTGCCCCCCATCCCAAAGCACTGAAAAGCGTTAAAATGAATGCAAAAAAAAAGGGGGAAAAACGATAAAAAAGAAGAGGAAGGGTCCAACGTTGCTGGGGTGGGGGGGACGAAGGCCCCAAACCCTTCCCTTTATGGTGCTGAGCTCCCCCAGTTCAGCCCCCCCCCCCCAATGGCACAAACAGCCCCCGGCAGCGTTGGTCCCCCCCCCATATTTGGGGCTCTGAACAGGAATCCCTTGGGAATCACCCTCTGGAAGCGCGCGGATGGAGCCTGCCAGGGCCCCACCCCCTGTCCCGTCCCCCCCCCCTCAAAAAACGGCGGCTTTTATATGAAGTTGGGATTTTACTTGATTTTCTCTTTTTTGGGGGGTTGGTTTTTAGTTGCTAGAATCCATCGTTGCGGTTGATCAAGGTGTAGGGTTCAATATCCACATAAAGACTCCAAAACACCAGGAGGTGGCGGCTCCTTTTCTTTCGCTCTGGGTTGCACCGGGGGGGGGGGGAGGGGTCCGGTTATCCGGTTATCCCATTATCCCGTTATCCCAGTATTCTGTTATCCCGTTATCCCATTATCCCGTTATCCTAGTATTCCATTATCCCAGTATCCCGTTATCCCAGTATCCCGTTAACCCGTTATCCCAGTATCCCGTTTTCCCAGTATTCCGTTAACCCGTTATCCCAGTATCCCATTATCCCAGTATTCCGTTAACCCGTTATCCCAGTATTCCGTTATCCTGTTATCCCAATATTCTGTTATCCCGTTATCCCAGTATTCCATTATCCCGTTATCCCAGTATTCCGTTATCCCATTATCCCAGTATCCCGTTATCCCATTATCCCGTTGTCCCGTTATCCCAGTATCCCATTATCCCGTTATCCCATTATCCCGTTATCCCAGTATCCCGTTATCCCATTATCCCGTTATCCCATTATCCCGTTATCCCAGTATTCCATTATCCCATTATCCCAGTATTCTGTTATCCCATTATCCCGTTATCCCAGTATCCCGTTATCCCGTTATCCCATTATCCCGTTATCCCAGTATCCCGTTACCCCATTATCCCGTTATCCCATTATCCCGTTATCCCAGTACCCCGTTACCCCGTTATCCCGTTTCCACCCATGCCTGTATCCCTCCCCATCCCTCCCCATGGTTCCCTCCGGTACCGCGGGGCCGCGCTAGGGGCGGGCGAATCCATTGCGGGCGGCGGGGGAGAACCAGGACTCCGCCCCCTCCGCGCTGACCACGCCCCCCCCCTCCAAGCGGATTGGTCGAGCCGCCTCGGGGCGGGGCTTCAGGCGTGCTTCCCATTAGCCCCTCCGATGACGTCATAGCGCGGCGACGGAAGGAGCGGAACTTGACGTCATGACGCGTGCGCCCAGGGCGCTGCTGCTCGCGGGAGCCCCGCGCCGGTACCGGGTGAGCCCCTCCCCCCTCCTCCTCCCCCTCCCCCCCTTACCGGGACCGCCCCTCCCCCACCCCCGGGACCCCTGCACCCCACCGTGACCTTTGACCCCTGTCCCCCGGTCTCCGGGCCCGATCCTGACCGCTTCCGGTTGTTCCAGCGGCTCCGCCAGGATGGGAACGACGGGACCGGGAGCACCGGAAACGGGACCGGGAGCACCGGAAATGGAACCGGGAGCACCGGAAACGGGACCGGGAGCACCGGAAACGGGACCGGGAGCACCGGAAATGGAACCGGGAGCACCGGAAGCGGGACCGGGAGCACCGGAAGCCCCGCCCCCGGCGCCCCCATCCGCATCGCGCTGCCCGGGGGCCGCCTCCTGCCCGGCCGGGCCCTGCAGACCACGCCCTACATGGTGGCGGCGGAGCTGGGGTGGGGACCCATAGAGACCCATAGGGACCCATAGAGACCCATAGAGACCCATAGAGACCTCATAGAGACCCATAGAGACCCATAGAGACCTCATAGAGACCCCATAGAGACCCATAGGGACTCATAGAGACTCATAGGGACCCATAGAGACCCATAGGGACCCATAGAGACCCATAGAGACCCCATAGGGACCCATAGGGACCCATAGAGACTCATAGGGACCCATAGAGACCCATAGAGACCCCATAGGGACCCATAGGGACCCATAGAGACTCATAGGGACCCATAGGGACCCATAGGGACCTATAGAGACCCCATAGAGACCTTATAGAGACCCATAGAGCTCCGTAGATACCCATAGAGGCCCATACAAAACCTATAGGGACCCATAGGGACTCCATAGAGACCCCAGAGACACCAATGGAGACCCATAGACACCCATAGAGACCCCTAGGAACCCATAGAGACCCCATAGAGCCCCACGGGGACCCCATAGTGACCCATAGAGACCCACAGAGAGCCCATAGAGACCCTATAGGAACCCACAGAGACCCATAGAAACCCCACAGAGACACCATAGAGACCCCACAGAGACCTCATCGAGACCCATATACACCCCTTAGAGCCCCATAGAAACCCCATAGGGACCCATAGAAACCCCGTAGGGACCCATTGAAACCCCATAGGGACCCATTGAAACCCCACAGGGACCCATAGAAACCCCATAGGGACCCATTGAAACCCCATAGGGACCCATAGAAACCCCACAGGGACCCATTGAAACCCCATAGGGACCCATTGAAACCCCATAGGGACCCATAGAAACCCCATAGGGACCCATAGAAACCCCATAGGGACCCATTGAAACCCCACAGGGACCCATTGAAACCCCATAGGGACCCATAGAAACCCCATAGCGCCCCACAGCTCCCCCACGTGTGCCCGTGTCCCGCAGGGCGGCGGAGGCGGCGCTCGTGGCCCGCGTGAACGGGGCCCTGCAGGACCTGGAGCAGCCGCTGGAGGGCGACAGCGACCTGGAGCTGCTGGACTTCAACTCGGCAGAGGGGCGAGAGGTGGGGGGGCTGCTCCTGCCCCATAGCGGCCCCATTGTGCCCCACATCCCTTGAGCACCACATCCCCCTTGTGCCCCACATCCCCCTTGTGCCCCACATCCCGCTTGTGCCCCACATCCCTTGAGCACCACATTCCCCTTGTGCCCCACATCCCTTGAGCACCACATTCCCCTTATGCCCCACATCCCACTTGTGTCCCACATCCCTTGAGCACCACATCCCTTGAGCACCACATTCCCCTTGTGCCCCACATCCCCCTTGTGCCCCACATCCCCCTTGTGCCCCACATCCTCCTTGTGCCCCACATCCCTTGAGCACCACATTCCCCTTGTGCCCCACATCCCCCTTGTGCCCCACATCCCCCTTGTGCCCCACATCCTCCTTGTGCCCCAAATCCCTTGTGCCCCACATCCCTTGAGCACCACATCCCCCTTGTGCCCCACATCCCCCTTGTGCCCCACATCCCTTGTGCCCCACATCCCCCTTGTGCCCCACATCCCTTGAGCATCACATCCCCCTTGTGCCCCACATCCCGCTGTGCCCCACATCCCTTGAGCACCACATCCCCCTTGTGCCCCACATCCTCCTTGTGCCCCACTTCCCTTGAGCACCACATCCCCCTTGTACCCCACATCCCCCTTGCACCCCACATCCCGCTTGTGCCCCGCATCCCTTGAGCACCACATCCCCCTTGTGCCCCACATCCCCCTTGTGCCCCACATCCCTTGAGCACCACATTCCCCTTGTGCCCCACATCCCTTGAGCACCACATTCCCCTTATGCCCCACATCCCACTTGTGTCCCACATCCCTTGAGCACCACATCCCTTGAGCACCACATTCCCCTTGTGCCCCACATCCCCCTTGTGCCCCACATCCCTTGAGCACCACATCCCCCTTGTACCCCACATCCTCCTTGTGCCCCACATCCCTTGAGCACCACATTCCCCTTGTGCCCCACATCCCCCTTGTGCCCCACATCCCGCTTGTGCCCCACATCCCTTGAGCACCACATCCCCCTTGTACCCCACATCCTCCTTGTGCCCCACATCCCTTGAGCACCACATTCCCCTTGTGCCCCACATCCCCCTTGTGCCCCACATCCCGCTTGTGCCCCACATCCCTTGAGCACCACATCCCCCTTGTGCCCCACATCCCCCCATTGTGCCCCACATCCCCTGAGCACCACATCCCCCTTGTGCCCCACATCCCCCTTGTGCCCCACATCCCGCTTGTGCCCCACATCCCGCTTGTGTTCCACATCCCTTGAGCACCACATTCCCCTTGTGCCCCACATCCCTTGAGCACCACATCCCCCTTGTGCCTCACATCCCCCTTGTGCCCCACATCCCGCTTGTGTTCCACATCCCTTGAGCACCACATCCCCCTTGCGCCCCACATCCCGCTGTGCCCCACATCCCTTGAGCACCACATTCCCCTTGTGCCCCACATCCCCCTTGTGCCCCACATCCCGCTTGTGCCCCGCATCCCTTGAGCACCACATCCCCCTTGAGCACCACATCCCCCTTGTGCCCCACATCCTCCTTGTGCCCCACATCCCTTGAGCACCACATCCCCCTTGTGCCCCACATCCCCCCATTGTGACCCACATCCTCTGCTGTGCCCCACATCCCCCCTGTGCCCCACATTCTCCCCCCTGTGCCCCACAGCCCCCTTGTGCCCCACATCCCACTTGTGCCCCACATCCCCCCTGTGCCCTACATCCCCCTTGTGCCCCACACCGTCCTTTATGCTCCACATTCCCCCTTTCTGCCCCACATCCCCTATGCCCCACACCCCCCAATTGTGCCCCATAGCCCCCATTGCCCCCCCCCTTGCCCCCAGGCCTTCTGGCGCTCGGGAGCCTTCGTGCTGGGGGCCGTGCTGGAGCAGTTCTATGGGGCCACATTCTGCCGCGCCAGCGCCACCGAGGACGGCTTCCACTGCGACGTGCACATGGGCGACCGGTACGAGTGGGGACCCCCCCCCCATACCCCCCCATAGCCCGCTATGGGGCTGCCCCACACATCCCAACGTGTGTCCGTGTCCCCCCCCCAGGACGGTGCCGCGTGGGGACCTGCAGGCGCTGGAAGGGGCTTGCGCCGCCTTCGCCCGCGCCGGGCACCGCTTCGAGCGCTTGGAGGCACCGAGGGAACGGCTCCGGGAGCTGCTGGAGGTGAGGAACGGTGTCAATGGTACCGGTGTCAGTGGTACCTGGTGTCAGTGGTACCGGTGTCAATGGTACCGGTGTCAATGGTACCGGTGTCAGTGGTACCGGTGTCAATGGTACCGGTGTCAATGGTACCTGGTGTCAGTGGTACCGGTGTCAATGGTACCGGTGTCAATGGTACCGGTGTCAGTGGTACCTGGTGTCAGTGGTACCGGTGTCAATGGTACCGGTGTCGGTGGTACCGGTGTCAATGGTACCGGTGTCAGTGGTACCGGTGTCAATGGTACCTGGTGTCAGTGGTACCGGTGTCAATGGTACCGGTGTCAGGGGTACCGGTGTCAATGGTACCTGGTGTCAGTGGTACCGGTGTCAGTGGTACCGGTGTCAGTGGTACCGGTGTCAATGGTACCGGTGTCAGTGGTACCGGTGTCAATGGTACCTGGTGTCAGTGGTACCGGTGTCAATGGTACCGGTGTCAGTGGTACCGGTGTCAATGGTACCTGGTGTCAATGGTACCTGGTGTCAATGGTACCGGTGTCAGTGGTACCGGTGTCAGTGGTACCGGTGTCAATGGTACCTGGTGTCAGTGGTACCGGTGTCAATGGTACCGGTGTCCATGGTACCGGTGTCTATGGTACCTGGTGTCAGTGGTACCGGTGTCAATGGTACCGGTGTCCATGGTACCGGTGTCAATGGTACGGGGGCCAGTGGTACCTGGTGTCAGTGGTACCGGTGTCAGTGGTACCTGGTGTCAGTGGTACCGGTGTCAATGGTACCGGTGTCAATGGTACCGGTGTCAATGGTACCCGGTATCAGTGGTACCGGTGTCAATGATACCGGTGTCAGTGGTACCTGGTGTCAATGGTACCGGTGTCAGTGGTACCTGGTGTCAGTGGTACCTGGTGTCAGTGGTACCGGTGTCAGTGGTACCGGTGTCAATGGTACCTGGTGTCAGTGGTACCGGTGTCAGTGGTACCGTTGTCAATGGTACCGGTGTCAATGGTACCGGTTCCAGTGGTACTGGTGTCAATGGTACCGGTGTCAGTGAGGAACAGTGTCCATGGTACCGGTGTCAGTGGTACCGGTGTCAATGGTACCGGTGTCAGTGAGGAACGGTGTCAATGGTACCGGTGTCAGTGGTACCGGTGTCAATGGTACCTGGTGTCAATGGTACGGGGGCCAGTGGTACCGGTGTCAATGGTACCGGTGTCAGTGAGGAACGGTGTCAATGGTACCGGTGTCCATGGTACCGGTATCAGGGGTACCGGTGTCAATGGTACCGGTGTCAATGGTACCTGGTGTCAGTGGTACCGGTGTCAATGGTACCGGTGTCAATGGTACCGGTGTCAATGGTACCGGTGTCAGTGGTACCGGTGTCAATGGTACCGGTGTCAATGGTACCGGTGTCAATGGTACACTGTGTCAATGGTACCGGTGTCAGGGGTACCGGTGTCAGTGGTACCTGGTGTCAGTGGTACCGGTGTCAATGGTACCGGTGTCAATGGTACACTGTGTCAATGGTACCGGTGTCAGGGGTACCGGTGTCAGTGGTACCGGTGTCACCGCCTTTCCCCCCCAGCACAACCGGTTCCAGCTGCAGCAGCTCGAGGCGGTGCCGGCCCCATTGGCCACTCTCTACAGGTGAGCGTGGGGGTTGTGGGGCTGGGGGGGCCCTGCCTGTGCCCCCCTCCCAGCCTCTGCTCCCCCTCAGGTGCGGGCCCCAGCTCCAGCTCTGCCGCGGGCCCCTCCTGCGGCACACGGGGCTCATCGGGGCCCTGCGCATCCTCTCGGTACGGTCGGTGTGGGGCAAGCTATGGGGCAGGGCTGTGGGTTGGGGCTATGGGGTGGGGCTATGGGGCAGGGCTGTGGACCAGGGCTATGGGGCGGGGCTGTGGGTTGGGGCTATGGGGCAGGGCTGTGGGTTGGGGCTGTGGGGTGGGGCTGTGGACCAGGGCTATGGGGTGGTACTCTGGGGCAGGCTACGGGGTAAGGCTATGGGGCAGGGCTATGGGGCAGGGCTATGGGGCGGGCTATGGGGCAGGGCTATGAGGCAGGGCTATGGGGCAGGGCTATGGGACAGGGCTATGGAGTGGGCTATGGGGCAGGGCTATGGGGCAGGGCTATGGGGCGGGCTATGGGGCAGGGCTATGGAGTGGGCTATGGGGCAGGGCTATGGGGCAGTGCTGTGGGGCGGGTTATGGGGCACGGCTATGGGGCAGTGCTATGAGGCAGTGCTATGGGGTGGGCTATGGGGCAGGGCTATGGGACAGGCTATGGGGCAGTGATATGGGGCAGGCTATGAGGCAGGGCTATGGGGCAGGGCTATGGAGTGGGCTATGGGGCAGGGCTATAGGGCAGTGCTATGGGGCAGTGCTATGGGGTGGGCTATGGGGCACGGCTATGGGGCAGTGCTATGAGGCAGTGATATGGTGTGGGCTGTGGGGCAGGGCTATGGTACACGCTATGGGGCAGTGCTATG